TGTGTGAGCGCCCTGTGCTGGCGCTGGGCTTGGTACTGGAGACGCAGGCACAGAGCAGGTCCCCCACTGTCCTCAGGGCCACCCTGTCCGTCATGTGGAGATGCACCGAGCACACTGAGCGGATGCGTAACGGGGACTGTCAGGCCCCAGAAATGCTCTATTGGGACAAGAGGGTGTCCTCCTCGGAGGACGGAGGGCGGGGTGATGAGGCGGAGGGGGAGGGACCCCAGCAGCGGGAGGGGGGTGGCTCACTGAAAGGGACTGTGTTCTGGGGCTGCTGCCTGGAGGAGTTTGGTCCTCACCCCCCAACCCCCTTCCCAGCACGACCGGTCCCTCCCTTCCCACATCCAGGTACAATGACTTCCTGCACGACCCCCTGTCACTGTGCAAGGCCTGCAGGCCGCAGCCCAACGGGGAGAACGCCATCTCGGCGCGCTCTGACCTCAACCCGGCCAACGGCTCCTACCCGTTCCAGGCGCTGCAGCAGCGCTCCCACGGGGGCATCGATGCCAAGGTCTGCCAGGGCCCGGGGCTGTGGGTGGGCTCGGTCACCGTGATGGCTGGGGAGGGGGTGGGGTGATGGCTGGGCAGACGCAGATGGCAGGGTGGAGTCAGGGTCAGAATCGGGCTGGGGGTAGTCCAGGCTCGAGTGGGTGCCGGGGCCCCTGGGTTGGGTTGGCTTGGAGCCCAGCCATCGCTCTGCCCCGGCCCCCAGGTGACCAGCATGGCCCTGGCCAAGGCCTTGCGCCTGGTGGCAGCCAGTGGCCCCACGTGGGACCAGGTGCCCCCTTTCCAGTGGAGCACCTCGCCCTTCAGCGGCCTGCTGCACATGGGCCAGCCCGACCTCTGGAAGTTCTCGCCCGTCAAGGTCTCGTGGGACTGAGGCCGCCTCTGCCGCCGCCGTGACCTCCTGCCCGTCCCGTCCGTGGCCTTTGCCCCCTGTTGTGCCCAGAGCGGGGACCCGGGTCTGCCAGGTTCATGCTCATCTGGGCACCTCCTCCTGGGTGGGGCGCGGGACTGACTCCCTCTCAGGAGTGGGTGAGTGCCATTCTGTCTCCTCTGCCTCTGCCTCTGCCTCTGTCTCCTTCTTTTCCCTGTTCTCTCTCTGTTCTCTCTGCTTCTCTACCCTCCTCCCCCCCTTGTGCTGCCCCTGCAGAGGGACCAGGTCTTGGGGGCCCCGTGGGTTTGAGCCCAAGGCCTGGGTGTTCCCTGTGGCTGGCGCCGATCCCCGCCCCAGCTCCCCGCCCCCTCGGGAAGCAGCCGTGTCCCCACTGGACAGCTTCCTCCAGGACGGAAATGAACACAAACACAAACAAACCAAAGTTCCTGGCGACTGTGGCTGAGGCCCGAGGGTCCTCTCTCCGGGACCAGGCAGGAGTGTCACGCCTGCTCCAGCCTCATGCCCCGCCCCAACGTGGGCGTGCCCCTGGCCCCAGGCAGTGCCCACGGTTCCCCTGCTGCAGGTACCAACTCGCAGGCTGTGATGATTAAACGAGAGAGGCCGTGCCCTGTGCTGTGCTTTTGGGCAGTGGGGAAGGCTGGGTCCGTGCCTTTTCTCAAGACTGGGATCTGCACTGTCCTTCTTGCATCTTTCTGTTCATCCTTTTGTCTGTCCCATCTGTCCATTTATTGCCAACCACCCACCCATTG